ATCACGAGCCCTGGGATTCCTGGGACTTGGGTAATCTCAGGAACATGTCACTTACCTTCACGTTCTTTACCTTCACCTTCTTGTATCTTCACGTCATCTAGGCTTCTCGTATATCCTTATGGTAACAGCAAACACACATATATTCCTTATTATGTGTCAGGCACATTCTAAGCTCTTTTACATATGTTTAAATTTAAAATTTTTTCCACCTTATTGATATTTAAAAAACTGCGTGTATCTAATGTATACAATTTGATAAATTTGCACATATGCATTCACCCATGAAACTATCACCACAATGAAAGTATTCTTTGCCAAAAATACCACAGAAACCCAGCCAGTGTGACTCAGTGGATTGAGCACTGTCCCATGCACCAAAAGGTCACCCGTTTGATTTCCTGTCAGGGCAAATGCCCAGGTTTCAAGCTTGATCCCCAGTAGGGGGGGTGCAGGAGGCAGCTGATTGATGTTTTTTTTCTCTTTGAAAACATCTATTTCTATCTATCTCTCCCTCTCCCTTCTTCTCTTTAAAAAAAATCAATTAAAAAAACATTTAAAAAATACCACAGAAGTAATGCTTCAGGAGACATATAATTTTGGTTTCTCCCATTATTGTGATACTATGTTTGACATTGGTTAAGGTGGTATTGGCCAGGTGTCTCTGCTAAGTTATTAGTTTATCTTTTGTACTTAATATGTATCTTGTTACTGTTGTTCTTCAAACTTTCACCCACTAGTTTTAGCATCCATAATTATTACTATGATGGTTACCAAATAATGATGAAATAATTTTCATCATTTCTTCATGACTTTCTACCTTAAAAACTCTTTTGTGCTTGCAAGCACTCTCTCTCTCTCTCTCCTCTCTCCTCCCTCCCCCATCTGTCTCTCTCATTGTGGTCCTGTTATTTACTCAATGGGTTATATTCCTTTGTTTTCATTATTTATTTTGATGTTCAAATTGTTACAGATTTCGTCAATGAGAGCTCCTTCAAATAGGTTCCTGTGATTCTGACACAAAAAGATGTTCCAGGCTCTTCTTGTATTTTCCCTGCCCCTGTCCTGGAATCAACCATTTCTTCAAGAAGTCTCTGTTCTTTTCAATAATAAATGAGATTTAGAAACCACAAACAGTGTTACGTGCACTCGTTGCTCCTGAGCTCTATGAACAGAACCTACATACTTGTGTTCATATACACACATGCATACATATACATATATTAACATTCAATCATTTCAATCCTATGAAGTAGCTACTACTTTTATTATTTTCATTTTATAGTTGAAGAAACTGAGAATCAGAAGCTAAGTAACTTGCCAAAGTTCTCCCAGTTAAGTGATAAGACCTAGATTGGAACCTGGGTAGTCTGGCTACACATCTACCCTCTTTTTTTTTAAAAAGGAAACTAAAAAGATATTTTAATTAAATATAATGCATAATCTTCAACTGTATCCTGGAACAGAAAAAACAATGTTCTAAAGGACTTTAATAGGACAGTGGCAAAATTTGATGATGGTACTGCTCAGTCCAAAATGTCAAACATTGCAGGTGATTATCTGGCCTCTGCCTGCTTCTTACAGCCACTTACACCATTTTGGCTGTAGTTACCCCAGCATGAGCTCACGTTCTGTAGCTTATACCCATTACTTTTGTTCTTTGCCTTGAGCATTACAGTGAGTCTGTTTCCGTTTCCATATTTTAATCATTCTGACAGCTGAAAGGAGCTTGTCTGCCTTCTTCCATTCTCAGTCTTTTCTTCAGCATAAACATCCTCCATCCTTTCAACCATTAGCCTGAGAAGCTGCTTATGTGTGCTGTTTGCCAGTGCTCCTTCCAAAGAATGGCACCTGAGTCGTCTGGCTCAGGGTCTTTCATGAGGTTGCAATCAAGCTGTTGGCCGGGCTGCAGTTGTATAAAGGCTTGACTGGGGCAGAGGGATCTGTTTCACAGATGGCTCCATCCCATGGCTGTTGGCAGGAAGCCTCAATTCTTCAACATATACACCTACCTCTCCACAGCACTTCTGAGTGTCCTCATAACATGGCAACTGGCTTCCCAGGAAGGGAGAAAGCTCTTTGTTAGGCTGATTAGGCTTGGGAAGGACCTGGCACCCTTTTCAAATGGACCAATTTCCCAGGCTTCTGATGGGCCACCCCTTAACCAACCTATTTCCTAGATCTTTCCGGGTTATGTCTCTTATCCAATCTAATCCTTTTCCCAGGTTAGACTGACATACCTCCATGGTGGCCTTCTTGGTTCCTACTGCACATTGGCTTACCTCCCCCTTTATTGTTTTCTCTCTTCCCGCAGTGATCTGGGAGGAACAGACTCCTGGTTCCCTGGGGAGTGTGTGAAGCTGTAACTTCCTAAAGAAGCAAGCCGGCTTATGGTCCTTAGGTGATTATGCCTAATAATGCCTGATTTCCTTTGCTCCCCTCCTTTATAACAGCTATCTATGCTAACATATCCACTGGAGAGTGAATAAGTAACACATGACATATTCATTCAAAGAAATGCTCTACAGCAGTGGAAATGAATAAATTTACAGCTACCTGTATGCCCACAGATGAAGCAAGATGCAGAAGAAAATACACAGGAAGATTCCATTGACATACAAATTTAAAACATAAAAACCCTACATATATTGCTTAAGAATATATACATAAATAATAAAATTATAACAAAGTGCACGGAAATGAAAAACACCAAATTTAGGAAAATCAATTTTATTTGGGGAAAGTACTGAGTGCATTAATCTGCATACCTTTTTATAAGTCTAAAATGTGTCATAGTATATTCAAAAGAAAAACCGAGTTTCCCCTTGAGTTTTCAGTTCTGGCCTCACAGGGTTGGGGAGAAGCAGGGAACAGGCTGCTGCTATCCCCTTGGCCACAAATTCCCCAGGTCACGAGTTCCGCATCCACCTGTTTCGGAACTTGCTTACAGGACTAGTGCGACAGAAAAGCATTGTGGGGTGATGGCGCATACGGACAAGATGAGGGACTATGCTGAGCAGCTCATGGACTATGTGAGGCTGGGAGATACCAACCAACAAGACATGCGTGTGGGTGACTTCTGGCTCACAAAGACTTGATCCCAAAGCAGTTTCAAGTACTGGCCCTTTGGTACCAAGGTCAGAACGGGGACTACACGAGAATGCTGCAGATCCCAAATCGGAAAAAGCACGATTGGGCTAAGATGGCAGTCATCAAGTATAAAGGGAACTGCCTCCCACCCATTTTCATAGGAATCATTTTCATGAACACATGTAATAGGGTTTTATATCTTCCCCAGATGTTATCTTCAGTTCCACAACATCAATGAAAGTCATTAAACTATTTTGCCCTACCTAGTTTGGCTCAGTGGATAGATGTTGGCCTGCGAACTGAAGGGTCCCAGGTTTGATTCTGGTCTGGGGCACGTACCTAGGTTGCAGGCTCATCCCTGGTCCTGGTCAAGGCTCATGCAGGAATGCAGGAGACAATCAATGTTGCTGGTCGTCTCTCCCCCTCCCTTCCACTCTTTCTTAAAAAAAAAAAAAAAAGGAAAATATCCTCAGTAGAGGATTAACAAAACAAAACAAAAAAGTCATTAAACTTAAAATGATGAGAATCATTGATGGCTGCCTCCTAGACGACCCACACTGGGGATGGAGCCCACAACCCAGGCATGTGCCCTGACCAGAATCAGTGACCTCCTAGTTCATAGGTGAAGGATCTACCACTGACCACTGAGCCACACCAGCCGGGCAGTCATTAAACTTTTTTTTTTAAATTGTGATATTTTGCCTTTTAAGTAAATTATTAAGACACTTTTATGTGTAACAATTGAAGCTTTGCAGTAATGACTATTTTCTTTCTTGTTTTTGTTAGATGTTTTACGAGTAAGCTCATAAATCTAAATTGTAATAAATCCATATTAATAAGTTTTATTAAATATTTCATGCCTAAAAATCCTTGACTTTATTTAACATTAACAGCACAGTAGATGGTGTTGACAATTTGTGGTGTGTTTTTTTTATTCCTCACCCGAGGATATGATGTTTTTTATTAATTTTAGAGAGAGGCAAAGGGAGAGAAACACTGATGTGAGAGAGATTGATTTTACAGAGAGAAGGGAGGAAGGGTGGGAGGGAGCAAGGGAGAGTGAGAAAGCGAAACATTCATGTGAGAGAGATACGTGCCCCAACCGGGGATCAAAACCACAACCCACATGAAGAAACAGAATATACTAGCATCTTAAAACCCCAATCCAAGTAAGCTCTTTCAGTTACTTCATTCCCACTCAGGAGTAACCAAGATCCTATTTTTGTACTTTACATAAATAGATCCATAAAGCATATATTCTTTTGTGTATGGACTTTTTTGCTCAATATTAGGTTTTTGAGATCATCCAAAATCTTACATGTAGTTATAGCTCTTGCAATCTTATTGTTTTCTCTTGTGACATAATTTGACTATTTGGGTTGTTTCCAATTTTGGATATTACTAATGATGCTATGAACACTCACTGCATCTAAGTAAAAAAAATCTCAGTGGTAGCACCAGTATTCCACTGAACTATTCAGAAGGGGTGCTGAAGGATTTTTTTTCAAGCTCTTGCAAACTATAAATTAGCCCGGCTGGTGTGGATCAGTTGGTTGAGCATCATCCCAGGATTACTACCAATACAAAATGTTAAGTAGGGAATTATTTTTACTAATGCCATTCAAATCATTCTGATATCTTTCCCTAAATTAACCTTCAAATTGCAATCTCAGCATATCAAAAGAAATTCAAATGAGAGACCTAACCCTAAGCTTTATGTTTAATTATATATGGCTGCACAGGGAATATTTTTTTAAGCTATTTCTTTTCAGACCATTACACCCCATAAAGACACGCTAGGATTAAGAATTTATACCAGTTTGTTAAAAGTAAATGTATTCACAAAGTGCAACTTTCTTCAGAAAATATGATTTCAAGTGCAAAGATGTAAGAATGTCTAGTATTCACTGATGTCAAAATCATTATTTCGGGATTTATTTAAAAAGTGGCAACAGATTCTCAAACACACAAACTACTGCCAGGAAATGATACACACGAGGAAAAGAGCTCTTGTAAATCAGTTTCTAATGGGAAATTAAGATGTAGTACAAAGATATAATACAAGGGTTTAACTATAGAAACCATCTATGAAAAAGGATAATAAAATACCATTATTTTGTTTATGTGACTAAAATATCAGAGCAGAGAGTTCTGAGGGCGATTTTTAGCTCTGTTAAGACCTACTTCAGACTGCCATGCCATGCAATCGGAAAGAATTATATTAACACAAGCCTAAATCCTGTAATAGGTCATTTTCAACACTATGAGACAATCTATGGCTCCACATCCTGAGTGTTGTTCTCCTTTGTTGCAACTTGTTCAAATACCAAAAAAAGAGAGAACTGTATGGAAGATATTTTAACAAACATGTGACACATACAAAAAGAAACAAACAAAACGGCAAAACAAACATGTCACAATTCCCTGAAGTCTAAAAATAACTAAATATGCCTTAATAAAAATATAAAAGATAAGTAATAATCATTTTAAAATATTCTATTAGTTTTGCTAAATATGAAAAATATTTTTATTAGTTTGAAGAAGCATTATTTTATTCATTTTATTACATCAAATTTTAAAAGAAACTGACTAAATTTTAAACATTATTTAAACAAAAATATCTACCTCATTTTAAGTCAATGCAAATTTCACTCATTTAGAACTCTGTACTAGCATATTAACATTTGGGGAATTTTTGGAAAGATACATTATTACATATAAAACTGTTTTATAAGACCTTAGGGATAAGAAATGGTTCATAAAACTTTACAAATCTTCCTAAACAATGTTTAATACAATGAAAATTATATATAGACTTTGATTTTTAATAAAAATTTCAATTATTTTACAATCAATTTGAAACAGAAGTAAATATGCCTCATAATTGTTTTGAGGACTAACATTCATCAGGATTACTATAGCTGTTAATACTTAAAACACACTAGAAGAGACTATTGGCTATTTCTGTTCTAGAAATACTAATGAACTAAATAATTAGGTTGGAAATCATGATTTAAAATCAATATGACTTAGAAAACACTATAGAAAAATTCAAGGAGAGAACATTGTTATGGTCAACTTATCATTATTAGTTGTAGCAGTACTGTATTTTGTACACATTTAGAAATCATGTTTTCAAACTGACAATGTGATTTAACTGCTTTGCTCATTAACATATGAAGATGTTGGCTGAGCTTGAAACATTAAAACTGTATTTATATATACCCCAAACAGGGCAATTTACAAGATTATATGAGTTATTCTTAAAACCTTTTTAGAACACAAATACCTCATTTTATCTCACATCATTATAAATAAACATGATAGCTTAAAAATATTAAACCTTTTTGTTTTTATGTACTTTGTCCTAAAGTACCCTGACTTATTGCTTAGTGAAATTCTATCCCCTAGTATGGATCCTCAAGCTTTTAGGAAAAGATTCCAGGGTCAAGAATATGGACATCAAATATAATAATTCACTGTAACAATGTATTGATCCTCAGGAATTCCTTCAGTATGACAAATATTTACTTTACAGTTACTGCTTCTGTAGCTATAGATCCTTCCTCACAACATATTATTTAGGTTCCAGAAGTTCCATCCCTCTGGTGCTTCCAATCTGTTTTCTTAAACTTGTTTAAAGTATCAGCACATTATTCTGGTTCAAAGGTAGAGACTCACTCTTCCTGCAGCCCAAAGTAAGTTTTTTTCTTTCTTTTTTCAAGGGGGAGAGGGTAAAAGGAAGAGAGATGGGCTTGATATCTTGCTAATTTACAGGCTAGTTCAGAATTGCTGGGTATTTCCTGATGGAAAAGATCGCTGAAGGAAAACATACCAAGAGGTGGCCATGTTATCATATTGAGGGCAGCAGTTAACTCTTCCAGCTCAGAACAGAACAAATAATACATTTGTTAATAGTTAGGCATTTGCTATTTTATGAACATAAATATTTTATCTACTTTACAAGGTAATATTAATTAAAGGTAGATATAAAGTCTATGAAGTTATTTGCAACAAAAATTTCACTAGCTAAAATTTCTTACTATTTCCCTTAGGAAATATTGTACATCTGTTAGAGTGCCTGATACTTGTTAAAATATCAAGTAATACAGGACAAGGTGTTATAACACAAAACAAACAGCTAGGAAGCACTTTATTTTTTTCTACTTCATGTAACATTGTTTAGGACCACAAGATTTTAAAGGTCTCTTTCAAGCGACTTTTATGACTTAGGAATACCACTTAAAAATATTTACTGATGCTATAAATATTACTGCTTTTCTACATATTAATAATTTTAATGAATGTCATATTCATTATACCTTTTGCTCCTTTGGTCAGAAAGATAAACAGAAACTTTTAATGTATAGATATTAAAAATGGTTTTTTAAAACACCCAAACAAACCAAATCTATATCAACATATGTTAAAATTAGTTTTAGTTGTTATTATTAAGAATTTTAACAAGGACATACTGAAACATGTATAAGATTTTAAAATTAATTAAAAAACAAATTTAAATTTATAAATAAAAAGATTAATGGCCGAATTGAAAAAATTTTAAGCATCAGATTTAAAATATCTTCATTTTTCGCTATTCAGAAATATATTTTGTTAATAAGAATTATTTCATAAATATATATGTATAAATATAAATATAAATCTACAGGATCTACAGTGAAGAGAAATCCTTTAAAGAAAAAAATTGCACTTTTAGATTATCAGGATGTTGTCATATTTACCCTTTAAGTGAAGTGTAATTACCATTCCAGGTGCTTTGGGCACAAATTTTTAGGAGAATAGCAACACAATCTTAAAAACACAATGCTTTTATATTTTATTGACTGGAATATGAAGAATCAAACAGAATTTAGAATTCTGATAAAAAAAAATCCAGATAACGGCAATTGCTTAATTAAATCCAAAAACAAAATATTGTTTTAAAAAAGCCTTAAACCTGTCTTTATATCTGGAACATGTAAAATTTTATCAGCAACAGCTTTTCTTCAATCCCTTCAGCAAGAATTCCCAACCTTCACGCAAAGGTAACATTGTCTTTTTCTACTCACATGTGACTTAGATCATACTCCAGTATATAAGGACAAAAAATAAATGTATAATAAAAAGATTGGATAAATCAGGAGAGGCTTTTTGGTCTTGAATTCTTCACCCACTAACAATGAAGCAGCACTGTAGGCAGCCCAAAAAACACCAAACAGCTTTAAAAAACAAACAAAAAGACAAAGGGCAGCATATTAGCAAGTCAATTAACATTTTGCATATTATAGAGTAAAAATAATATTTACAATATTGTTTAAAACAACCCTGACAACCAATGGTGGTAAACAGTAAAACTTATTGAGAATGTTTAAAACTTCCAAGAATGGCCCTAGCTAGTTTGGCTCAGTGGATAGAACATTGGCCTGTGGACTAAAGGGTCCTGGGTTCAATTCCAGTCAAGGGCACATGACCAGTTTGTGGGCTTGATTCCCAGTAGGGGGCGTGCAGGAGGCAGCCAATCAATGATTCTCTCTCATCATTGATGTTTCAATCTCTCTCTCTCTCCCTTTCTCTCTGAAATCAATAAAAAATATATTTTAAAAAATAATAAAAATATATTAAGAAAAAAAACTTTTAAGAATGTTAGTACTTGCTCTTCTCCTTGACTTCTGCAAATGAAGTGTTTTGCTATCAAATATGTATAATCAAAAGAATCACCTAGGGTGCCTATTAAAAAGAAAATCCTGAGATTCACTCTAATTGTGATAAATCAGAATTTCTAAGAAACAGATCTAGTTATAAATCCTTTTAACAAGTGTCCTTGGTGATTTAAGGTAAGGCAACTTCTGGAAAAACTATTATTGGGCCAAATTGCTGAAAGAAATTTGATTGCAGAAAGAGAACTAACTGACTCTTCTTACACAGAAGAAATTTTTTCCTTTACTTTCTTCTAAGAAGAAAACAGATTAAATAAAAATTTTATACAATGTTTATTAAGTATCCCAGCATTTTCCCAGGAATAGATAGAAATATAGGGTTAAATAAAAAGGAGAAAAAAAATAACATTTTGGTGAAGACTTTAATTAAATAAAATATACTGTGGTTTTCTAAGTATACACATATCTAATTTTAAATTATTTCCACTTGAAATTTATGTAGTACTTATTGATATAGTTACTGAAGCCATTTACAGATTAAAATGAAAGAAAGAACTTCCAGAGTAGAAATCAGGGAAAGTATGATAGAAACAGACTTGGCATAGAGCAGGGTTTCTGAACCTTGTACTACTATTGACATTTTTGGGCTGGATAATTGTTGGGGGAAGCTGTTCTATGCATTGCAGGATATTTAGCAGTATCCCTATCTCAACCTACTATATACCAGTAACATTCCACCACCAATTTGGGCCACCCAAAAATGTCTTGAGACATTGTGAAATGCCCTTAGGGAGAAAATCGCCCTCAATTGAGAACCACTGGTACAAGGGTAAAAAATATTGGCATACTGATTGAAAATGTATTTGAGATGGTCCAACCGTCTATTGATTTTTAAACTAAAAAACACAACAGCACAGGGATGGGCTAGAAGGAATTAATGGGAGAAAAAAGGAAACATATGTAATGCTTTCAACAACAATCCTATATAATAAAAGGCTAATATGCAAATCGACCGAACAGCAGAACTACCGGTCGCTATGATGCTCACTGACCACCAGGGGGCAGACGCTCAATGCAGGAGTTGCCCCCTGGTGGTCAGTGTGCCAGAAGCTAGACTCACAGCTGGCAAACACAGTGGTGGTGGCAAGAGCCTCTCCTGCCTCTGGGGCAGCGCTAAGAATGTCCGACTGCCGGTTTGGGCCCGCTCCCCGTGGGTAGTGGGCCTAAGTCGTCAGTCGGATATCCCCCAAGGGCTCCCGAACTGTGAGAGGGCGCAGGCCAGCAATTCGGTCCCCTCCTGGCAGGCGCCCTCCCACGAGTGCACAATTTTTGTGCACTGGGCCTCTAGTTAAAAAATAAAAAACATCCCTGGCTGGTTTGGCTCAGTATATAGAGCGTCGGTCTGTGGACTGAAAGGTCCCAGGTTCGATTCCGGTCAAGGGCACATGCCCAGGTTGTGGGTTTGATCCCCAGTAGGGGGCGTGCAGGAGGTAGCCAATCAGTGGTTCTCTATCATCACTGATGTTTCTATCTCCCACTCTCTCTCACTTCTTCTCTGAAATCAATAATAATATATTTAACAAATAAAAATAAAAAACAACAAACAAAAATCAGGTAAATATTTTAAGCCTACAGAAAAGTACAGAAAAATATATAAAATAAAATTATGATCAAATTGCATTTGTATATCATGTTTCAATTTTTGTTGTTATAAATAAATGGTTAACAATTGGTAAGAATTACAGAAATTTAATTTTTAAAAGATTAGTGGTTGTAGATGAAACTGTATTTTAATGCTATCCTATCTAATAAAGAGGGAATATGCTAATTGACCCTCACACCATCGCAAAGATGGCCACATCCACAGACAATGAGAAAATATGCTAATTGACTGCCATGCTCTCAAACATGGCAGCACCCACAACCACAAGATGGCTGTCAGGAGAGGGCAGTTGTGGGCGATCAGGCCAGCGGGGGAGGGCAGTTAGAGGTGACCAGGCCAGCAGGGGAGGGCAGTTGGGGGCAACCAGGCCTGCAGGGGAGGGCAGTTGCGGGGGGACTAGGCCTGCAGGGAAAGGCAGTTAAGGGCAACCAGGCTGGCAGGGGAGGGAAGATAAGGGTGACCGGTCGGGCAGGGGAGCAGTTAGGCATCGATCAGGCTGGCAGGCAGACGAGTGGTTGGGAGCCAGCAGTCCTGGATTGTGAGAGGGATGTCCAACTGCCGGTTTAGGCCCGATCCTAAACCGTCAGTCGGACATCCCCTGAGGGTTCCCAGACTGGAGATGGTGCAGGCTGGGATGAGGGACACCCCCCCCCCCCCCCCAGTGCACAAATTTCGTGCACCTAACCTCTAGTACAGGGGTGGGCAAACTTTTTGACTCAAGGGCCACAATGGGTTCTTAAACTGGACCGGAGGGCCGGAACAAAAGCATGGATGGAGTGTTTGTGTGAACTAATATAAATTCAAACTAAACATCATTACATAAAAGGGTACGGTCTTTTTTTTTTAGTTTTATTCATTTCAAATGGGCCGGATCCGGCCCGCGGGCTGCAGTTTGACCACGGCTGCTCTAGTAGTTAAATAATGAGAGATCTGCAACATATTCCTCAAAATTTGGACTGAAACAAGGAACATGTACAATAATTCATTACACACAGAAGATTAGGAAAACAAATTTGGCAAAGAAAAATGTGACGTTTAAAAATAATTTTAACCTAAATTTTTAATTATATAAATAAGATTTTCCATTTTGTAATAATACATTCATATGCTCCATAAAGATTATTAAGGACCAATTTTCAGTTGAATGTGATGACTAAAAATGAAAAGAGGACACAGTTTTAGCAATTTTGGATGTAGTCTCAGCAGTATTAAAACACGTTTTAACCCAAATTAAAAAAAAATGAGCAGGAAGTTATTCTGAATGATTCAGTAAAGTGGTATGTTCACAAAGGCTAGATAATTAAATGCCAGCATGGGTCTAGCTCCTGCACTACAAAAGTTTTAAACTAAGTGTTAATAATGGCAATTTAAATAAATGTTTAGGATTACAATGTAAAGGAAAAAAGATCTCCTTGATCTCTAAAACATACAAAGATGTTCTCAAAATATTCTTTTACTAGAGGCACAGTGCACAAAATTCGTACATTGGGGGGGGGGGTCCCCTCAGCCCAGCCTGTGTCCTCTTGCAGTCTGGGAGCCCTCGGGGGATGTCCAACTGACAGCTTAGGCCCTCTCTCCACGGGGAGCAGGCCTAAGCCAGCAGTCGGACATTCTCAGCGCTGCTGTGGAGGTAGGAGAGGCTTCCGCCACTGCCAGTGCGCTCGCCAGCTGTGAGCCTGGCTCAGGGCTTCTGGCTGAGCAGCACTCCCCCTGTGGGAGTGCACTGACCACCAGGGGGCAGCTCCTCTGTTGAGCATCTGCTCCCTGGTGGTGTGTGCCATTGCGGCCGGTCGTTCTAATCGATTTGCATATTAGACTTTTATTACTTATTACATAGGATAATATTTGTAATAACAGTTACCACTTATTGCCTACTCTGTATCAAGCACTGTACTAGGCATTACATTTAAAATCTTCATAACAGTTGTTGACATTCCCATTTTGCAGAGGAGGGTAAGAAAAAGTATCTCCTCTCCCCAAGGCGGACAGCAAGTAAGTGGCAGAACCAGGGTTTCAATTCAGAATTGACTGGTTCCAAAATCCACATTCTATTCAATTCCTAATGCTTATATAATGTCAGTATTAGCCTGTAGTTACCCAATTTTGAAAAAAATAATTTCTCCTATACTGGAATGAGTAATAAACTTTAAAACCAAATGTCATAAAAATTAAGTGGCACTACTTAAAAACAAATACTTTAGTGTGGAGGCTACAGTAATGGCAGTTCTGAAAGTGGTGGTCTTAAAAAGTTATATTTTCCATAAAGAAGGTAGCTGATCAGTGATTCTCATCACTGATGTTTCTATCATTCCCTCTCTCTTTCTCTCTGAAATCAAAAATATATTTTTAAAAAACTATCTGCATATAATATCCTCAGGCCTGATTTGTTCTCTGTTCTTTATCCCCTCCCCCCTCCCCCCCGCAGACATATAATTTCTGATAATTTAAAGAAAAATAAATGAAATACCATTGGTAAAAACAGTGAGTAAGATCATTGTCCCAAAATATTATTAATCATTTAATAAAGAGTTACCTGATTCCAGGGCTAAAGCAGGTAAAAGATTACGATATTCTTAGCCAGAGAACTATTTTACTTTTGTTATTGGAAAATAGTAAACTACTTTTTATAATACATACTACTTACTTTTATAAGTGTAGACACCACTTCAAATGATCCAACCACCAAAAGTATAGGGGCTATTACAATGAGAGGAAGTAATGAATATCCTATAACTCCAAGAACTTGGCCATATGCAACCTGTGAATTTTTAAATTTTTAAATAAATGTCACAGAAATCTAGATATTCATTTAAACCAATATTGAACATTATATATTCGTTGTTATACTTTCAATAATGTGAGAATTAGGAAGAGATCATGATGTATTATACTCATGTTATTTCAAATTTCATATACTGTGTTTTTTCCTATGCATACATACTACGATGAAGTTTAATTTGTAAACTAAGTAGAGTAAGAATACTAGTAACAACAGCTAGCCCAGCCAGCATGGTTCAGTGGTTGAGCACTGACCTATGAACCAGGAGATCACAGTTTAATTCCTAGTCAGGGCATATGCCCGGGTTGCAAGCTCTATCCCCAGTGTGGGGTGTGCCGAAGGCAGCTGATCAATGATTCTCTCTCATCATTGATGTTTCTATCTCTCTCTTCCTCTCCCTTCCTCTCTGAAATCAATAATATATATATATATATATAATTTTTTTTAAAGAGTAAAAACAAGTAACAATAAAATAGAACAATTATTAACAATTCTAAACTGTAATAAAAGTTATGTGAATGTGGTCTCTCTCTCTGATCTAATACCCTAGTACCCTACACTAAATGACTAATAAGTAGGTGTATACTGCATTGGAGGATGAATCCACTCTCTGCATGGGATGGCAGAAGATTTCATCATGCTACTCAGAATGATATGCAATTTAAAACTTATGAATTGTTTATTTCTGTAATTTTCCATTTAATATTTTTGGATGGTAGTTGCTAACAGGTAACTGAAACAGCAGAAAGCAAAACCGCAGGTATGAGGGAAGTAGGGTACTTGCAAAAATATAAAACACCACCACTCTTCTAATGCTTTTGTTTTGCAAAATGTTATTTTTTTAAAATGTATTATGTTAAAGTGAATCTAGTTTAATTTTAAATTTTAAATGAATAAATATATTTTAAAATTTTTAATTTTAATTTATAACATGGTAAATATAATAAATATAACACACATTAAGAAATCTCTTTGGGGACCTGAGATCAAAAACTTTGAGAATGCTGTAACAGAGAATAAATTGTATGGTTCCCTAAAAAGCTGTCAATTACATATGAGTGGGATGGGATCTTTTCTTTCCACTTCCTTTCTTATAACATCATTAAGTATAAAAAAATACTAATATGTTGATCCTCTTAAAGGAAGGAGCATAAGTTAAAAGCAATTCTGGAACAAGAAATACTAGTACTTATGATGAATATAGCCACTGATGGCATCTGCAGCTCAAAAATAAAGCTTACCATAGAAAACAAAGGCTATTTTCAAAATTAACCACTTACCTCTCCACCAAGAACTCTGGCCAGTAAGAAAATAGTTAGTGAACCAAATATCCAAATAGTTATAATCCATGATACCACCTAAGGGGGGAAAAATTCATGCAATTAATTCTTTGTACCAAATAAGCTGGGAAGTTCCTAGGAACTCAATTACCTACCATATAAGATACTTTGGTATACCCAATTTCAGGTCATAGAGAGTTTGTTTGGTTTCCCAGGTATCTTTACAAAACTTAATAAGAATAAAATGTGAATGTAATTTTAGATTCAAATTGAAAATTTATCCCCGCTGGCATGGCTCAATCGTTAGAGCTGACCTACAAACCAGGAGGTCACAGTTGGATTCCTCAATCAAGACACACGACCCGGTTGTGCCTTTATCCCCAGTGGGAGGGCATGCAGGAGGCAGCTATTTGCTCTCATCATTGATGTTTCTATCTCTCTTTCCCTCTCCCTTCCTTTCTGAAATCCTATATAATGAAAGGGCAATGTGCAAATTGACCCTAATGGCGGAACTACCTGGAACGACCAGTTGCTATGATGCGCACTGACCACCAGGGGGCAGATGCTCAATGCAGGAGCTGCCCCCTTGTGGTCAATGTGCTCCCAAAGGGGGAGCTCCGCTCAGTCACAAGCCGGGCTGACGGCTGCGAGCGGAGAGGTGGTGGGAGCCTCTCCCGCCTTCTTGGCAGTGCTAAGGATGTCCAACTGTGGCTTAGGCCCGCTCCCCTGGGAGGTGGACATCCCCTGAGGGCTCCCAGGCTGCCAGTGGGATGTCTGACTGCCAGCTTAGGCCCGATCCCCTGGGAAGCAGGCCTAAACCAGCAGGTAGACATCCCCCGAGGGGTCCTGGACTGCGAGAGGGCGCAGGCCTGGCTGAGGAACCCCCGCTCCCCGAGTGCACAAATTTTCGTGCACCAGGCCTCTAGTATTTAATAAAGTATTACAAAACAAATTTAACAATGATCAATTGCCTAAGGACACATCAGTACTTCAAGAACTATGATAAAAGATTACTGTAAAAAGAGAACAAAGAGTTTACTCCCAACCCCGATTTTCACCATCCTGCAAGGAAAATTCATCCCTAAAACAGGTTACGAATCTTCTTGGTAGGTCTTTAAAGTTTATATTAATCACACATTTATCCAAGTAATAGAATTAAAGACATTTCAGATCATTTTAACTCCTGAGACTTAGCATAATAATAATAATAATATGTGCATACATTTCCATCTTCTGTTTACTTGGAGTCTAGAAATAATGACACCCCAGCAGCTACATAAGCATTCTTATTGCCCAGGTTCTGGTTTCTAAATATCATTCCCTAATAAAAGGAACTAGGATTCCTTAGAGCAGTGGTTCTCAACCTTGGCTGCACATTAGAATCAACTGTGAATCTTTTTAAAATCCTGATTTCTGGACCTCATCCTCCGGAAATTCTGTTTCTTTGTTACTAATGTTGTGGCCCCACCCCATAACAAAGAAACAGAATTTCCGGAGGATGAGGCCCAGAAATCAGGATTTTAAAAGATTCCCAGGGTGATTCTAATGTGCAGCCAAGGTTGAGAACCACTGCCTTAGAGAAATACGTGATTCCAGGGCTGAAGCAGGTAAAAGATAAGCCCAGAACACTTTGTAGAGTCAGAGGAAAGAAAGTGCTCAAAAAAGGATGGGAATATTTTGAAAGGACACTGAAGCTAATCTGAAGGAGCTCCAAATGAATAAAGCTGAAACAATCTCAGGATGAGGGAGTGATCTGTGTATGTTGTGTTTTGATGATAAAGCCCCTGAAAGTAGGACAAAGTATTATATAAAAACAAATACTTGGGGTGGGGGGTGAGGGTGGGAATGGGAGATATCTGTAATACTATCAACAATAAAAAATATATATATATAAAAAAGTCAAAAAACAAAAAAAAACCCCCACAACAAATACTGATGGAATCCCTACCCTCATTTATTAAAATGTCTTATTTTAAAAAACAGAACTAAAAATGAGAAAAAGATAAGAACATGATTATGAATTTTGTGTTTCCAACTCTTCATCCCTTGGGGAAATCAGTAAGGGCATGGGCAGCCCTTTTGGTCACTTCTGGTCAGAAGGGATTAGTTCCAGCCATTTACCCTAGTCACTATACAAACATTAATGTTTTCTTTTCTTTTTGGTTAATCCTCACCAGAGGATATTTTTATACTGACATTTAGGGAGAGTAGAAAAGAGAGGGAAAGACAGGGAGAAACATTGATGTTAAAGAAACACATCAACTGGTTGCCTCTTGCAGGAGCCCAGACCAGGGCCCGGGCCAGGGAGAAGCCTGCAACCAAGGTACGTTCCCTTGACTGGAATCGAACCTGGGACCCTTTGGTCCGCAGGCCAATGCTCTATCCACTTAGCCAAACCGGCTAGGGCCAAATATTAATATTTCCTATGTGAATGATAATGTGGAAAAGTTTGAAAAGCATTAATGTAAGGTACTTCCCACATAATTAAGAATAGTTCTAGGAGCCTGGCCTGTGTGGCTCAGTTTCTGAGCATCAAACTATGAACCAGCATGTCATGGTTCGATTCCTGGTCAGGGCACATCCCTGGATTGTGGGATCGATGGGGGCATGCAGGAGGCAGCTGATCAATGATTTTCTCTCATCATTGATATTTGTCTCTCTCTCTCCCTCTCTGAAATCAATAAAAATATATATTTAAAAAAATAGTTATAGGGATGAACAATGAGAAATAATGCACAGCGGTAAAGCATTTCTCAAATGTAATGTCCTATGATAGTTAATATTTGGCTATTTTTAATTTTTAAACTCCTGAAAAATTTAGAATTTATATAAAGTAAGATATACTTACCCTAAACTGTCCATATAATGATATCATGGAAAAGAAAAGGACAACAGCCAGAGGACCCCAAAAGTCAGGATTGTCTCTCACCACTTGTCTATTAAAACCAAGTGATGGCATTGGCATCAAAACACATCGGATTTTGTAGTAAATATCCTTCAGATCGATATCCAATTCTTCCCTATAATTGTAAAATAAAAAAATTTAGAAGGCACACTTGTGAATATGGAGACATCTGTAGTAGAACTTATATCTATATCTATATATATAAAAGGCCAAGCGACCATCCAACCGGTAGCTTTGATGCGCACTGACCACCAGGGAGCAGACGCTCAATGCAGGAGCAGCCAAGCTGTGGTGACTTGGCAGCGGTGGTTCTTGGGTGATGCACCTGGAACAAGAGAGGAGGGAGCCTAATTCTGGGGTGCGTCACCCAAGAACCGCCCTCTCACAATCCAGAACCCCTCAGGGGATGTTGGAGAGCTGATTTTGGCCTGATCCCCGCAGGCCGGGCTGAGGGATCCCACCTGTCAGAGGGACCCCACTCACTCTACAGACAACCTTCGAGCCGCAGCGCTGCCCCAGGTGAAGCCAGCTGGGGAGGGACTGCCAAAGATTGGCTCCAGGGTGTGTCTGGCCAGTCTTGCCCAGTTCCACCCCTGCTGGCTACCTTCTAATTAATTCCTTTCAATGTGCACGAATCTGTGCACTGGGACACTAGTTTAAATATAATGGCATAGTCTCTATAGGTCAACAAAGCATTTGCATTTGAAGTACCATATTTCACTGATTCCAAGGTATACATTTTCAGCATTTTAACATCTCTAAAGTTGGGATGAATCTCACATTCACTGGTGTCTTACAATTATGTTAGCCTGAAGGGAAGCCAAGTGTTTCCAAGAACTGCCTTTCCTTTTGCCAGTCTTCTAAAGGCACTACCAATTTGGGACTTTAAATATAATTTTCTGCTTGAGACTTTTTTGGACCGTACAGATAACTCAGACTGCAAACCTAGATGAAAACTGGTACAGGGCTTACATTCTCAGGGGAAAGTTTTCTTCCAATACCCCATCCAGTGCCAAATTGAGACAAATAAAGTCCCCTGCTGTCTCGTTTTGTATGGTGGGTTATTTCTTATTTATCTTTATACCATGGAGACAGCCCTTAGATGTCCTCAGCTTTATGCTGTCTTAAGCAATTTTTCTTTCTTATTGATAAATATAACTACACCCTATAATCCATAGTATCTTATATTTGATGAATTATAGTATATCAACATAGAAATAAGATGTTTTAGCACTTCATCTATCAATAATTACTACAGAGAATAAGTTGGTAATGCCTCAATTTTATAAAGCTATAGGTTCTTTTCAAAATTGTTAAATTCTTCAGATTTTTTCCAAGTGATAACATAGTCATTAAAAAAAAAAAAAAAAGTAAGTCTCTCTATAGTCCTCAGTGGCAGCTTTAGAATTTCTATATGGGAGAAATTTGGGAGTAATAATCTTTTTTTTTTTTTTTTTGGTTAATCCTCACCCAAGGATATTTTGCCATTGACTTTTTAGAGCGAGTGGAAGGGAGGACAAGAGACAGAGAGAGCAACATCCATGTGAGAGAGACACATCAATTGGTTGCCTCCCTCATGTGCCCCGATTAGGACCAGGAATCGAGCCTGCAACCGAATCATGTGCCTTTAACCAGAATCGAACCCAGACTCCTTCAATCCGGTGCCGACACTCTATCCACTGAGCCAAACCAGCTAGGGCAATCATCTTTTTGGAAATCTTAAATGGTCTTAAACTGAATTTCCACAACAAGCAACCAAGTGGTCTGCTTTTTTAGACTGCACATTAAAAAAAAAGATTGTTATGTTTACTTAAGATAGCTATAGGCCCAGGTAAGACCTAACAGTTTAAAGTGTGTGTGTGTGTAAGAGAGGATTATGATTCTTTTACTTTTTGCAATATTTATTTATTTATTTATTTATTTACATCCTCACCTGAAGTTATTGATTTCAGAGAGAAAGACATAAACCATAGAGAAAGAGACAGACAAGAGAGGAAGAGAGAGAGAAAAAGACATCGATGTTGAGAGAAACACTGATTGGCTGCCTCCTCTATGCACCGACCCGGGACCAAACCCGTGACCTAGGTATGTGCCCTGACCAGACTCAAACATGCAACCTTTAATTTCTGCAATTTAATAGGTTAAAAATATTAATTCCTCAGTTTTAATGATCACTAATAAACTGAAAATAGCCAAAATTTTTGACAAAAAAGGTTAAGATATTCCATACTTATCTTTAAATAATAATGAAAGACTATAATCATTCCACAAACTAACTTTAAAAATAAAACAGTATGTATTATTTTTACATACAAGAGTGGCTTGTTATCTTCTGGATCATCATCTTCAACTTCCAAAAGCCATCCATATCCTCTTTGTCTCAGAAATGTAGTGGCTGTAGATTCTTTAATAAAATCTCCCCCAAGGTTTAATTTGACATCTGGGGCTGCTATTGAACCACTGAGGTCTTAGGAGAAAAGAGGACAAAATTATAAACCAAGGAATGTGTGAATTTATAAGCATAAATTCAACTAACATAATTAGCATTTGAAGACCCACTATTACATACCATTTTCATATTTTAAAGGTATCTAAATATCATCTTTTATTTTACAACAAGAAAATGAAAGATGAAAAAAGTTGCATAGCTAATTAGCTGGACTGGTACCAGAATCTACACCAAGCATGTCAAACTTGTGTTTATTTGGCCTGTGTTAGCCTTTGAGTTTGACATGCTTGATCTACACTTAATAACAGTAAGTTAAAAAAATTTTTTTTCAATGCTTTTGTTTTATTTATTTATTTTTGGTTAATCTTCACCAAGGATATATTTTTCCCATTGATTTTTAGGGAGGAAGAGAGAGCGAGAGAGAAAAACATCAATGTGACAGAGATTACATTGATTGGTTGCCTCCTGCATGCACCCAAACTGGGCTGGGAATCAAACCTGCAACCAAGGTATGTGTCCTTGACCAGGAATCAAACCTGAGACACTTTGGTACATGGGCCTATGCTCTATCCATTGAAGACACTGGCCAGATCTTATTTATTTACATAATTAAATTTATTGGTGTGACACTGGTTAATAAAATTATACAGGTTTCAAGTGTACAATTCTATGTCACCTCTATATTGCAATGTGTGCCTACCACCTAAAATCAAATCTTCTTCCATCACCATATTTTTTACTCCCTTTATCCTTTTCAATCTCCCAATCCACCTTCCCTCTGGTAACTACCACACTGCTGCCTGGGTCTATGAGTTTTTCTTGTTTGTTCATTTGTTGCTTTCAGAATCACTTTAAATTTTAAATGGCAGATTCATACAAAATAAATCACATGATATCATCTTGCATTCCCTTCATTATTATGCACATTATACAGAACAAAGTGACTGTATAAATTATTTTCAAAGGCATTACATATATAAATACACAAACCTTTAGACATAACTTACTGCCTAAAGAAAAACTATAGATAATTTTTCTCTACTTTTTAATGTATTTACTCATATGTTCTTTCATTTAAATCACCAAATATTTATGTTAAGCGCTTTATATGTCAAAGATTAGTTCTGGATAAATCTAATTAGTAAGAGTTCCCTGCTATTTCAGCTAACTCTTTATATAATTACATCTTTAGTTTTGGCAAAAATAAAAGGTTTTTTAGGTCACTTCTAAAAAAGGTGAAGAGATCCAGTTTCCCAGATTGCAAAATAAATTCCATTCATAGTCTGCACAGTAGCTTAGAGGTTAAGATAATCACAGAAGTACAAATGTCACATATTCTGGTTAAAAAAAAAAAATGGGGAGAGTAAAGGACTTGCTTGAGGTCATACGGGAGTTAAGAAAAAAGACATCTGTAGGACCAGGCAATATGCACTAGTAAACAACCATCACTGTTGTTAACTAGAAGCCACATAACTGGAGTGGTACTTTAGAAAATAATTTTGGCAACAGCAACCCAAAACATTCTTTTTTAAAAAACATGTTTTTATTGATTTTTTAGAGAGGGAAGAAGGGGTAAGGATAGAGAAACCCCCTATAGGGGTTCAAGCCTGCAACCCAAGCATGTGCCCCAACCAGGAATCAAACCACTGAGTCACACCAGCCAGGCAACACCAGCCAGGCAACCCAAAACATTCTTAACATAGACATGCCTTCTCTGGAGACCACAGACAGCATATATATATATATATATATATTTTTTAAAGCTCAATTTTAACCTAAATTTTAGGTTAGCTTTTGAGAAAAGCCATTATAATTTTGGCTAAAACTTCAAAGAGTGGATCAATTATGAGTCATAACCTAGTCTGGTTGTGAGAACTCCTGCAACCATTTAATTATAATAAAATGAAGCTAAGTCCTAGCTTAGCTACTAATTACAGCAAATCATTAATGTCCTCTGGTCTCCAGTTTCCTATTCCTTTCCAGATTTAACATTGTATGATTCTAAAAAGGTTTTATAATACAGTTTACTCAGTTAGAGATAAAATGTAAGTACTTGTGAATTTACTGTCCTTCCCTAAAGTTTAAAATTAGTTCTTGTAGATGCCATCATAGAATCTTGTAATTAAAAAATATTCTCTCAAAATTACTTTCTGCTTGTCTTAATCTCAGTTGAAAATGAGTTAAAATTTAACTAAAATTCCATTCCATTAGGTACAAGAAATGTTTTTCTTGACTTAACAAGAGGAAGATTTAGATCAGGAAGTCATTAGTACAGCAGTGACATTAAAGGTTTTGGAATTATGAGGCAGGAAAGGATCTTAACAACTGTTTCCTGCCCTGTAGAAGGGGCTACACTTAATCTAAACAAAAAAGGATGTATAAATTATAGTGTTAAGGAATGCTGTAATAAAGAATTGTATATGTTTAGCAATTTGTCATAGCATGGATGCCAGAATCTCAAAAAGGCACCTTTAGCTTATAATTCTGCAATATTTTCCATTCCATGCAAAGTGGGAAAATATCATGGACATATAGTAGGAATGCCAGCAACAGCAGTTTGACACATCCCCCAGTACCACCAAGACACAATCAGTGTGAGAACAAAACAACAGAAAAGTCTAAAAATTGGTAGTTAGCCTAACATGTTAGCAAACTAAAACAATAGCATTAAAAAACAAACAAACAAAAAACAAAAGAAAGAAAAAGATTCCAAATCACTTCAAGAGCACAGCTGTCTTAAATTAAGCCAGAGTAAGAAACAGCTAGCTTGGTTCTTAACTCTATGATAGGTATTCAGAATTTTAAAACACTATTTTATTCTTTTTTTTTTTTTTTTAAATTTCAGAGAGAGGAGGGGAGAGGGAGAGAGGGATAGAAACATCAATGGATCAGCTGCCTCCTGCATGCCCCCTATTAAGGATCGAGCCTACAACCTGGCATGTGCCCTGACCAGGAATTTAACCATGACCTCCTGGTTCATGGGTTGGTTAGCTCAACTGGCTGGGCTAAAACACTAATTGTAAATTAGTTCTTTCTTATTACACTATGTAAAATATTCTTGTTATTTTGTAGGAAATGTGTAAAGATAATAAATATGTGGATTTAAGAGGAAATATTCTTTGAAAAAAATCTATTGCAAAGGGAAACCTTAAAAATGTTTCCACTGCTGTTTGGGCTCAGAATGAGGACATTTCAAGTTTTATTGAAAGTCACCTGGGAAAACTGCAAAACAAAATTTAACAGTAATTTTCTCTCCCTTTCAATTCAAGTGTATGAATGGGTGAGGGATCCTTTCTCTGAATTTTCTATTCAGCCTGAGAACTTCACTTTGAAAGATAAGGAAGAACTTGGTCAAGTGTAGTATCCGTAATAATAAAAGCTTAATATGCTAATTAGACTGGACGTCCTCCCGAACAACCTTCTGGACGAAGCTGGGACTGCGAGGGAAGACCGGGTCCCGGGTGCCGGCAGCCGGGGGGAAGCCTGGGGTCCAGGGTGCCAGAGGGAAGCCGGTGCCAGCAGCCAGGGTAAGAAGGCCTATTCCTGCACAAATTTCATGCACTGGGCCTCTAGTGATAGTATATTTAGGATAAGATTTACTGATCTGCCTTTAGATGAGTTCTAAATTTCTATGAAAGAAAAGTATGCTGCAATGAATAATGCACATTATACGGCCACTTGTCAACTTTTTCTATATGTGAATATTTTCTTATTTAATATGCAATAAGAACAAAGACAAAAATTAAATCTCCTGAACTTACCTTTATAAAAATTAAATCCCATCTTGGCATAAGCCAATTATTTAACAGAAATTTTTTTATTTGCATTATGAGTCTTTTAACTTATTTTGAGATAATTATAGAGTCACAGAAAGTGCAAAAATAGTAGGGAGGTTACATGTACCCTTCACTCAGTTTCCCCCAAGGTATCATCTTATGTAACTACTAGAGGCCCAGTGCATGAATTCATGCATGTGTGGGGTCCCGAGGGACCCCAGGAGGTTAGCCAGCCTGTCATGGAGCCAGCCAGCTGGGGGAGGGACCGCAGGAGGTTGGCCGACCCTCTGATCGGGGCCATCGGGAGGCCGGCCGGCCAGTGTGATGGACTGCAGGAGGTTGGCTGGTGGGGGGGGGAATGGGGGAGAGAGACGCAGGAGGTTGGCTGGCTATCCCAGGGGTGAGTGGCTGCAGGAGGTTGGCCGGCTGGGGGGAGAAGCCTCGGGAGGTTGGCTGTGGGAGCACACTGACCACCAGGGGGCAGCTCCTGCATTGAGCGTCTACTCCCTGATGGTCAGTGTGCGTCATAGTGACTGGTCATTCCAGTTGTTTGGTTGTTAACGGTCACTTAGGCTTTTATATATATAGATCAAAACTAGGACACTAACAGACCCTCAGATTTTACCAGTTTTATATGTATTTATTTGCATGTGCCTATAGTTTTATGCAATTTTATCCCATTTATAGATTTGTGTAATGCTTTATGAGTTTAAAATTTATGAAAATAGATTAATTTTTTAAAATGATAAACCTTGCTTAATTACCTTTTTCTCCCCAAGAAAGGTTGGCTAAAAAGTCATTTTCAATTTTCAAGTAGGAAAGAAAAACTGTTCTTGCACCCATTAAATACCATGTATTATAATTCATTAGCATATCATATAGATGATATTTGTGCTAATACCTACAAGGATATAATTTTTAAAAGATCAAGTAGGGAATTTTTTTTTAAGAAAAAACTAAAGATTCCTCTATCTATACTACTAACTTGTACTAGAGGTGATATCCTTTCTGGGGAGAGGGAACTTCATGAGTAGGCTAGATGTTTTAGGTCTCTGTGGACTCACAAGTATAAGCTACAGGAATTGCCTCCACCAATTATTTTACTTCATAGTTCTTAAGTGAATGCTCTTCCATCTTTTTAATCTGAAAAATTCCTACTAATCCTTCAACATATACTTCATCTGACCCTGAAGACTTCCTAGAACCCTTCCTACACAATTAACTACTTTCTCCATTCAACCATACCTTTACAACATTTATTATGTACAATGATATTTTTAAAATCTAGTAGGCCATTTCTTGTAGTCAGGGACTTCCTCACATGCAACCCCTTTGCACATGAAGGTATTCTCTCTATCCTACATGTACAAAACATCATCTATCCTTCAGAGTTTGCAAAATATCCCCTCCATCAAATTATCCCTGATCTAGCTAAAATAAAATTCATCCTCTTCTGATCTTTCATAACATTCTAAATCAGTGCTTCTCAAGCTTTATTTTTTAAAAAATATATTGTATTGATTTTTTTTTTACAGAGAGGAAGGGAGAGGGATAGAGAGTTAGAGACATGGATGAGAGAGAAACACTGATCAGCTGCCTCCTGAACGCCCCCTACTGGGGATGTGCCCGCAACCAAGGTACATGCCCTTGACTGGAATCGAACCTGGGACCCTTCAGTCCGCAGGCCGATGCTCTATCTACTGAGCCAAACCAGTTAGGGCTCAAGCTTTAATATGCACATAAATCACTGAAGGATCTTGTTCAAATGCAAATTATGCATAAGGCAGATTCTGCATTACTAAGCATCCAGGTAAAGCCAATGCTGATGGTCTGTGGACATAAACTAGGCAAAGAATTACTATTTGTCTGATACAAAACAAATTCATAAGATTGCCTTAAAGACTTCTATACTAGACTTTAATTCTCACAATATTCTTGTAAGCGGCGTACTTTTCATTTTATACTACTATGTGACAAAATAGACACTTATAGCTTATAGAACAGCGTAACTTGCCCAATATCACATAGCTTCTATAAGAGATGGGACTTTAACTGAAGTATTCTGGCTCTAAATTAATTGATTTTTTTAGTTATACCATCCAAAATGCGCTAAGTTTTATAGTCCCAAGTATTAATATTACATGAGACAAAAGCAGGTCATTTATTCCTGTAACAAACAATTATTCTATGTCATTTATATTCTGGATTCTGTGGTAGGTGTTGGGATATAAAAAAAAATAGAGAGCCCAGCCGGTGTAGGTCAATGGTTGAGTGTCTACCTATAAACCAGAAGGTCACGATTTGATTCCCGGTCAGGGCATATGCTTGGGTTGTGGGCTCGATCCCCAGGAGGGGGTGTGCAGGAGGTAGCCGAACAATGATTCTGATCATTGATGTTTCTATCCTTCTCCCCCACTCTGAAATCAATAAAAATATATTTTTTAAAAAGAGAGAGAACCTTTGGCCTACAGACTGAAAGGTCCCGCTTCGATTCCAGACAAGGGCACAAGTCAAGGTTGTGGGCTCGATCCCCAGTAGGAGGCAGCTGATCAATGATTCTCTGTCATCACTGCTGCTTCTATCTCTCCCTCTCCCTTCCTCTCTGAAATCAATATAAATAAATAAATAAATAAATAAATAAATAAACAAATAAATAAATAAATGTATTTTTAAAAAAAGGGAGAGAGAGAAAAGTTAAGCAAGATTTCACCAAGGAAGGAGCATTTGAGTTTAGTTTAAAAGTTCCAACTTGGGATAAGGAGGAGAAAGGCATTTTAAGCATGAGGACTAGGATATGCATAGATATGGAGATGGAACATCAAGGCAGATTTTTGGACAAAGGATATGTGTGGTCAAATAGTAAGGATAGGTATTATTAAGAAAGAGAGATGTGGACAGAAGAAAGGTATACACTGAAAAACATCTATGAGCCAAAAAGATTCAGTTGGAGAAACAGCAAAAAAACAAGAAGCAAGAATTTAGATGATATGCTTAAGAATCAGAGAAAAGCCCTAACCGGTTTGGCTCAGTGGCTAGAGCGTTGGCCTGAAGACTGAAGGGTCCCAGGTTCGATTCCAGTCAAGGGCATGTACCTTGGTTGTGGGCACATCCCCAGTGGGAGTTGTGCAGGAGGCAGCTGATCGATGTTCCTAACTCTCTATTCCTCTCCTTTCCTCTCTGTAAAAAATCAATAAAATATATTAAAAAAAAAAAAAAGAATCAGAGAAAAGACTGAGTTGCAGAGTAAAATGTTCCTGCTAGAGAACAATAAAAACTAAGTGTGGGACGAGATAATACTAAAATCCAAGCAGCAGCAGCATTATGAACATGTACTGAGCACTTAACTCTGCCAGATATAATCATAAGTGCTTTGCATTTGCAAAATATTTGAGCACGTGGGTATTATTATTCCCATTTTGTATATAAGAAAAATGAGGTTAAGAGAGGCTCAGTAACTTGCCCAATATCACAGAGATAGTAATTGGTAAAGCCAGGATGCAACCCAAGTCTCTTAACACTATACTCCAGATACACTACAGACAGTCCTTGGGTTACGTCGGACTCAACATACGTCGTTTCGTGGTTACATCGCCATCTCCCATTTATTTACAAAAAAAAAAAAAAGTTCCGTCATTTCAACATATGTACATATGTGCTTTATGTTTTTTTATTATTTATTTACCACAAGTAAAGGTCAGGAATTGTTATCTTTCTTTTAAATTTTTTTTTACTGTTTCACTTCATTACTGGTGTGTATGTGCCCCATGTGAGTGACGTAGGTGCTAAAGTAGGTGGGTTCCGACTGCGTTAAGTCCATAGGAACAGATCTCCGACGTAACCCAAGGACCTACTGTATTCAATTTACAAAAATATAAGAGGCATCATGGTTTAGTGGAAAGAAATTTGAGGAGACAGAACCCTCGATTTCAATTCCATATCCTTCATGTGGAGTTACTGAACTTCTCTAAGCTGTTTTATTATAAAATACAAGAATAATAAAACTCAGCAGAATTCTTATAAAGACCAACCAAGACATTTGCTTAAAATACTCTGTAAATTTAAGTTGTGTAACATTATACAGATGGTGTTATTATATGTTTACTAGAGACATGGTGCACCACATTCGTGCACTGGGGAGGGAGTCCCTCAGCGCAGCCTGCGCCTTCTCAGTCTGGGACCCCCGAGGGGTCCTTAGCACTGCTGCGGAGGTGAGAGAGGCTCCTGCCATCTCTGCTGCACTCGCCAGCCGTGAGCCCGGCTTCTGGCTGAGCGGCACTCCCCCTGTGGGAGTGTACTGACCTCCAGGGGGCAGCTCCTGCATTGAGCATCTGCTCCCTAGTGGTCAGTGCACGTCATAGTGACCGGGTGGTCTGCCATTCGGTCGATTTGCCTACTAGGGTTTTATTATATAGGATATGTCCTTGGATATACAGGGAGTCTATATATCCTTAAATGCTAGATGGAAAAGTTTGAATAAACCTTACAGATTTTACTTATTCCAGGTTTCTTGATTTAGTATATAGTCAATACCTTAGCTCATTATATTATTCTGTCAGACTTCTTAGGTGTATTTAAGAAAGGTAATTCCTAGGGGAAGGGAGGATATGAGCAGTATATACATAAAGTAATTTGAACAAACATTAGGTTCTGATACTCAACGATAGACTTCTAAAGTCTGGGAAAATTAACATGGATATTCCTCCCTAAGCACTATGCTACAAAATTTAGATGAAACAAACCAAAATATTTTGGGTTGCTATATTTCACCAAATATAGAGGGAGTTGGGGGGCTGGGTGAAAAAGGTGAAGGGATTAAGAAGTAGAAATTGGAAGTTACAAAATAATCATGGGGATATAAAGTACAGCATAGGAAATATAGTCAATAATGTTGTAATAACTCTGTATGGTGTCAGATGTACTGGAAATATAGGGGAGAACACTTTGTAAAGTATACTATCTACTATGCTGTACACCTGAAACCAATCCTATCCTATCCTATATAATAAAACCTTGTGCTAAGGGACCCCTGGGTGGACATCCCCCCAGGGTCCCGGACCCCAGAGGGCGCAGGCCGGGCTGAGGGCCCCCCCCCCCCCCGCGGTGCATGAATGTCGTGCACCAGGCCTCTAGTACAAAATAATACCAAATGTAAACGGTAATTGAAAAAAAAAAGAGAGAGAAATGGATCAGCTCCCTTCTTTATGATCGGTAAAATTTTTATTTTACATTTTAAATTATAACCAACACTACAGTACTACTTTTGTTTTTTAAATACCAATCAAAAAGCAAAACAAGGGGGAGGAGGGAAAACCAGCGATACTAACTGATACACTATGAAACCGGATTTGAGGAAATACTACGTTCTTCTCCAGACTGAAATTCCTATAGCTAAGTCTAACTTATTTTTTCATGTTAGGCAGTAAGTCTGGTCACTGGGAAACCACTGGTGTGCGCACAGAAGGCTATTAAAACTAACACTTGAAAATGACTAGCAGAGAAAGATTCCACTTCCCAAGTCGGATACGGATTAGAGAAAAGGAGGAGAACAGCACTTCCTGTGCTGGAGAAAAATCTCCCCAGCACAACTGCTTCGTCCGAACAGTTGTCACAAGGAAATCTGCAGAAGCCATTGTCAACACCTCGCGGGAGTACAAGCAGTTTCAAATATACCTGGGTCTATTTCTCTGAATATCAGGTCAACCACTAAAAAAAACCCAGGAGAATTGGGACGGTGGCAGAATATCAGATTCCATGGATTTGCAGCGCCGAATCCAACCCCAGTAACAGTTACTGACGGATAAATAAGAGGAACACTGCTCTCTCCCCTTCCTCGTTCTCACCTTTGACACCTACCCTGGCCAATCGCGTTTCTGAGTAACAGCAAGTCATTCCATAAAAAACACACACACAAACACACAAAAAAACAACCTTCGAGTTCCGTGGTTCACTTGAGGTGAGCCAGTCGCCCAGAACAAGCTGCCCCAACGGCGTGGGGCGGGCGGAGCTGACCCGGAGACTCGGACAGCGCCCACGCCCCTCCCTCGCCGCCCGGGCCCTCTCCCCAGGCCCCGCGGGCGCAGTCAGCTTCCGGCGCGTCCCCACCGGCCACGACCGCCTCGGCACCAGAAAGGCCCCGCCGCGTAGAGTCCCGCGTCCTGCGGCGCAAGGGGACTTGAGGGGGCTCAGCCTCACCTTCCGCGTCTGCTGAGGAGACAAAGGTGAAGTCCCCGTTGGTGGGGGAATAGGCCGGGGGCGGGCCCGGCGGCTGCATCTCGCGGCCGCTGGGAGCCGGCGGCGGTGGAGGAGGCTGCGGCTGGGCCCAGGCCCCAAGGCGGCCGCGGCGCCGACCCGCACCGGCGCCCTACGCTGCAGCCCGCGAGCCGGGAAGCGCAGGCCGGAAGCGAGCCCGGGACGAGCGCAGCGCCCCGAGGAGGCCCCAGCAAAGTCTCCGCCGTGGCGACGGCCCAAACACCACGACGCCGGCGCCCTGACAGGACCATAACAGTGACAGCGCTGCTCGGATTGGCTCTTTGTAATGTGCTCTCCCATTGGCTCCCGGAGGAAGGTTCTGATTGGGTCGCCCTGTTGCTGATCCCGGAAGTTCGCCCAGGACAGGAAGTTCACTTCTAATTCGTGGACCGCTCCGGCTTCCTCCTCCTTGTTGGCTGTTTTGTTTTCTTGAAGGCTCATCGTTTCTGGCTTTTCTTTTACCTAGTTTCTTCGTTTTTGTTAACGGGGTGGGTTAAAGAATTTTAGAACTAGGGACGTTTCTAAAGGTCAGTCCGGTTTAGGATCCCAAGATTTTGTCGGGGGATGGGGCAAAGGCAAGTGAAAATGCCATGAAGTTGCCCATCGTTTTAAAGGTAGCTTTTTCTTCATTGAGCATTCATATGGTTGTTGTAAACCTTTCACCGTTTCCTAGAAATCCTATAAAGCTAGTCCAGCCAGTTTCTTTAACTCCCCTTCCATCCCCCCATTTTTTTTCAATTTTTTAAAAATATTTTTTTATTGATTTTTTACAGAGAGGAAGGGAGAGGGACAGAGAGCCAGAAACATCGATGAGAGAGAAACATCAATCAGCTGCCTCCTGCACACTCCCCACTGGGGATGTGCCCGCAACCAAGGCACATGCCCTTGACCAGAATCGAACCTGGGACCCTTCAGTCCGCAGGCCGTCGCTCCATCCACTGAGCCAAACAGGCTAGGGCCCCCCATTTTTGTTTTTATCTTTTCCTCTTTTTAAAAGAAAGTAGACAGATACATGTTGGTTAATGCTAACTGCCCATATTCTCACGGAGACAGTGTAATCTGAGCCCCATATGCAGAGAAAGGAGGGGGGAGAGCTAGAATTCTATGCACTAGGCAGGGCCTAGCACCCTCCAGATTCCAACAAAACTAATAAAACAGCCCCCCCTCCCCCCCAAGAACACGGTGGTGTTCCATAAAGTTTTTTTTTGAGACAAGATAAAAATATATTTGGAACAAAAAGGGGTGGAGATTCTTTTCCCACTGTATTGTGTTCAAGGTAATTCCCCTCCAAATAAGGTGAGAACCGTGGTATTAAGGAGAGAGAAGAGACCTTAAAAACTAGGCAACTGAGCACAAGAGGGGGAAAAAAAAAGAGAGATAGAGACCGAAACTTGCTCCCAGGGATTGGATAAAATTTAAAAAGATTGGAATCCATCTGTGTTCTATTAGTCATCTCCTTCATTGTTCTCTCCTTTCTCCCCCTCATCATCATCTTCATCCTCCTCCCCTTCATATCTGCCAACCCTTCCTCTTCATGATCATCTCTCCCCCCCCCCTTTTTTTTTGTTTGTTAATCCTCACCTGAGGATTTTTTTTTCCCATTGATTTTTAGAGAGAGTGGAACACTCAGCACACTAGAAACAGAAGAGCAGTTTTTCATCTGGTAATGGAATTAGTTGGTAGGCAGAATAATGGCCCCCAAGATGTCTACACTGTAAAACCCATATCCTGTGAATATGTTATGTTACATGGCAATAAAAGAATTAAGATTGCAGATGGAATCTTTGCTACCTCAGGTTAACAAAGGTCTTAAATATGATACAAAAAGTACAAATCATAGGTGAAATAAATGAGTTGAACTTCATAAAATTTAAAAACTGTTGAAGATATTAAGTCAATGAAAAGACAACTCTAGCCGGTTTGGCTCAGTGGATAGAGCGTCAGCCTGTGGACTGAAGAGTTCCCAGGTTCCATTCTGGCCAAGGGCACAAGCCAGGGTTGCGGGCTCAATTCCCAGTGGGGGGCATGCAAGAGGCAGCCGATCAATGATTCTTTCTCATCATTAATGTTTCTATCTCTCCCTCTCCCTTCCTCTCTAAAATCAATAAAGAAATATATTTGAAAAAAAAGAAAAGACAAACCACAAACTGAGAGAACATTCACAATCCATCTGTCTGACAAACAATTGGTCCCTAAAATACTTAAAAGAAGTAGATTTTTAATAGATATTTCACAAAAGAAGATACTCATTTGACCAATCAGCACCTTATGGTGCCCAACATCATTAGTCACATGGAAATGGAAAGTATAACCACAATGAGATACCACTACAGACTCCTTAGAATAACTACATTTTAAAAACTGATAAATTTACTGTATTAATGAAAGGAAAAGTAGGTGCAGGTGTACATGAGAACTCTGTATTATGACAATTTTTAAAAATCGGAAACTGTTCTACGAAAGTTTATTTAAAAAACTGATAATATCAAGCTATTATCAAGGATGTGGATCACCTAGAACTCTAATACACAAAGACAACAATTTCATAGTTTATAAAGTTAAACATTTACTTATCATGTGTCCCATCAATTCTGATTGCAAGTATTTACCTAATGAAAACCTATGTCTACAAAAAGAAATGTTTATAGCAGCTTTATTCATAGCAGCTAAAAACTAGAAACAACCCTAGTTGGTTTGGCTCAGTGGATAGAGCATCAACCTGTGGACAGAAAGGTCCCAGGTTCGATTCTGGTCAAGGGCATGTTCCTGGTTGCAGGCTCTTCCCCAGCCTGGGTCCTGGTCAGGGCGTGTGCAGGAGGCAACCAATCACTGTGTTTCTCTCACATGGATATTTGGCTCTCCCTTTCCTTCTCCCACTCTCTCTAAAACCCAAAGAAGGAAATATCCTCAGGTGAGGATTAAAATAAATAGATAAATAGATAAATAGATAGATAGATAGATAAAAACAACCCAAACATAAATTAACATATTAATGATAAAAATAAATTGTGATACATATATATAGTGATATATGTGATACATATGATTGGAATAGTACTCAACAATAAAAAGAAATGAATTAATGACATATACAAGAGTATGGATGAATATCAAAACCTTATGCCAAGTTATGATAAAAACAGACACAAAGAATATATACTCTCTGATTCCATTCATAAGAAATTCTAAACAAGAGAGATTATAAACTACTGTGACAAAAAGCAGATTAGTGGTTGTCTCCGACCACAGCTGGTGGGCAGGGAAACTGCCTGCAGATAGGTTTGAAGGAATGTTTTAGGGCCACGGAAGCCTTCTGTATTATGTTTGAGGTAGTCTTTATCAAAACTCATTCAACTTTAAATAGGTGTATTTTCATGTGTATAAACTATCATTCAATAAGATTAATTTACTATATGTAATACCTTAATCAATGAAGAAAAAAATAACATAAAAAAATAAAATTGAGCCCTGACCAGTTTGGCTCAGTGGATAGAGCGTCGGCCTGCTGACTCAAGGGTCCCGGGTTCGATTCTGGTCAAGGGCATGTGCCTTGGTTGCGGGCACATACCCAGTGGAGAGTGTATAGGAGGCAGCTGATCGATGTTTCTAACTCTCTGTCCCTCTCCCTTCCTCTCTGTAAGGAAAATCAATAAAATATATTTTAAAAAAATAAAAATAAAAAAAATGAATAAAATTGATTTACAAGAGAAGAGACAAAAAACTTTAACAGGCAGTTTGTATAATAAAAATTCAGAATTGCCAGGCACTTGAAATTACATTTAGGGTTCACCCAGATGATGCAGAATTGTGTCCCCATTTCAAGATCCTTCATTTAACCACACCAACAAAGACACATTTACAAGTACTAGGGATTAAGACCTGATATATTTGGGTGGCCCACTACAACCACATTTCCACATTTTCCCCTTTTATCCTGTATTACATCATTTGTTATTACAAAAGTGATAGGTGATTTGAAAAGGAAATTAGAATATACAGATAAGCAAAAGAAGAAAACAAAATTGCTATAATCCTGCCCCTAGAGATAAGCATTGTTAATATTTTGGTAACTATCATTTTAATATATATATATTAGAGGCCCAGTGCACAAAATTCATGCACTGTGTGGGGTGGGGGGGCCCTCAGCCCAGCCTATGCCCACTTGCAGTCCAGGAGCCCTCAGGGAATGTTTGATTGACGGCTTAGGCCTGCTCCCTGCGGGGAGCCAGCAGTCGGATATCCTTAGTGCTGCCATGGAAGTGGGGGGGGAAGTGGGGAGGCTCCTGCCACCGCCGCTGTGCTCGCCAGCCTTGAGCCCAGCTTTTGGCTGAGTGGTGCTCCCCCTATGGGAGCGCACTGACCAAGAGGGGGCAGCTCCTGCGTTGAGCGTCTGCCCCCTGGTGGTCAGTGCGCACCATAGCGATGGTCGACTTGCATATTAACCTTTTATTATATAGGATATATGATTGATTTCAGAGAGGAAGGGAGAGGGAGAGAGAGATAGAAACATCAATGATGAGAGAGAATCATTGATAGGCTGCCTCCTGCATGCCCCATACTGGGGAATGAGCACAAAACCCGGGCATATGCCCCTACCGGAATCAAACAATGATCTCCTGGTTCATAGGTCGATGCTCAACTACTGAGCCACACCGGCTGAGCTTGATAACTATCTTTACAATTTTTTTCTCTGTGACTGTACATTTACATATAGGTCCCACTAAAGTTTTAAAAATCCAGCTCATAACACAGCCCTTGATTCCACTTCACAGAAGTGCACCTCTAAGTTGGGAAACACCGCTGTTATTCCCATAGAAACCCTAAAATGCAGAAATTTACTTGGGGGGAAAACTTAGATAGTCCTCTATGTCACATAGTTTAATGTCAGAATGCCTTTTTTGAAATAAGAAGTTAAGTAACATAAAAAAGCTTGTGATCATTTGTGCAACGATAGGGGAAAGAATATGCAAGAATGTAAGTCTCAAGAGAAGTGCCAAGAGATTTCTTCATTTCCAGAGCTGAAGGTGAACTGGCTTTCCGGAATTTGTGATCACAGGCTTCAAATGTGTGTGTGTGCTAGTGGGAGGCTGTGACTCTTGTATTCGGGAAATGCCCTGTGCATCACCAGTGGAGCCGACTGACAGTGGTGATGCATTTGCTCTGTGCTAACCTTGCCCAGGACCCTGGTGACAGAGAGTATGCATTTGCTAGAAGTCTGCCGGGATCCAAGATAACTTTTGACTGCAGTAACAATATGCTTGAACCAACCAAACCAGTTCATTCTCTCTCTCTCTCTCTCACTCTCTCTCTCTCTCTCTCTCTCTCCCATAAAAAATTAATGCAAATTAAATATTCAAAACACTTTGTTTCATTTTAAGCTATAGAGTAAATAAGCCAACAGCAATAGGATTCACATATCATGAACAAATAGGAAACAAATGAATAATTCCTTTCCTAATGTACATTTCTAGCTTTTGCATCTTTAAGTCTCAAGTTTTATTTCTTTGGCTACTTCTACTTACACTCATCTTACCCTTTTGAAAAGTAGTTCTTGTTTCCAAACCATTCACACTATGCTTTGGCAAGAAAAGAAAAAAAGAGAACCGTCAGTGTTTGCCTTTACAATCCCCAGCCACAGAACACAGAGACCTCAGATCTACAAGACACCAGACCTCACACTGTGAAACAGAAAGCAAATAAAAAGAATCTTTATTTTAAAAGCATTTGATCCACCAAGAACAGGGCAACTGGATTGTTCAGCCAGGTACTGTGTGGAGAGATAATGGGGTTTTAAATGGGTTTTGGAACCAAATATTACAATTTGGGTTTACAGTTATTTAAAGCTTGTGCCTGGGGGTATAAAAGCCTTAACACTAAAGACTGTGGTTTTGCATGACTGGATTTGACTGGATTTGCCCGCAGTGAAACTTGTAGGGCTGGATAGTCTGTGAGTCTGGCCTGGTGGGGTTTCATTAGGCTCCTTGGGATTGATGTGTAAATATAGAATTAAATCAGAAGGGAGACAAAGTGAGGGAAAGCGCTCTGAAAATACTTTTTGGGCTATACTTTTGTTCCTAAAGTTGTTGTTGGAATCACAGCTGAAAGACGGAGGGGGGGGGGGGGGGGAGCGGTGCGGAACCTGCAACTTTAGTCCTCTGCACTTACGGGTGAGAAAGCTGATATCTAGAACAGCAATTTTTGAACCAATAGGCCACAAAAAAATTTTAAACATGCACTACCTGACAACTTAGCCAGGGGCACTGACCTCTTTTCCCTAGATTGTCAAATAAAAAAATGACAACACAACAATAGCCATCTGGTGTGTATGAATGCCCTGTCTTGAACCATAAATATACGTCATATAATGAAGTTGCATCTTATTGGTCATGTCACATAATAAGGTTGTGTCTGATTGATTTTTTTAAAAAATTGATTTGTGAGAGAGTGAGAGAGAGAGAGAGAGAAACATCAATTTGTTGTCGCATTTACTTATGCATTCCTTGATTGATTCTTGTATGTGCCCTGACTGGGGATTGAACCCACAATCTTGGTGTATTGGGACAACACTCTAACCCACTGAGCTTCCCGGACTGGGCTAACAGGCCAGGGCTGGTTAATTCTTGATACCAGAAATCCTTATAAACAAGTATAGGTACCTGATTTTTAAAAAAGTCACCTTGGAGCCAAAAGGTGACTTTTTTTTTTTTTGGTAAATCAATCAGAATTATACCTATTTTTTGTCAGATCGGCATAAAATATATTTTTTGGAATGCCACAGAATTTTAGTAGTATAATTAGCTTATGTGTGCCATGAGATGAAAAAGGTTGAAAACCTCTGTTCTAGAGAGAAGTGAAGGAACCCACTGTTATAGGGCATCTATCGTTAATAGTGTCTTTACATACCTTATCTCGGTTAATCCTTACAACTCTGCTTCCGAGGGATAGGAAATGTGAGAAGGGAGGTCAGCTGACATGATTCAGGTCTATAGGACTAGGATGGACTGGGCCTCCTGCCATTGTTCTCTTACTGGTTCAGCCCCCTTCTATAATGCTAATTGTATTAGCCTGCTCGGGCTGCCATAACACCATGCTACAGACTGGTGGCTTAACCAACAGAAAGTTAATTTACTTTATTATTATTATTTTTTAATCCTCACCCGAGGATATTTTTCCATTGCTTTTTGAGAGTAGAAGAGAGAGGGAAAGACAGAGAGAAACATCGATGTGAGAGAAACACATCCATCGGTTGCCTCCTGCAGGCGCCCTGAACAGGCCTGGGTTGGGGAGGAGCCTGCAACGAAGGTACATGCCCATGACAGGAATTGAACCCAGGACACTTTGGTCCACAGGCCAACACTCTATCCACTGAGCCAAACCAGCTAGGGCAACAGAAAGTTATTTCCTCACAGTTCTGAAGTCCAAGATCAAAGTGGTTTCTCTTGAGGCGCTTTGCTTGGCTTACAGGTGTGCCTTCTCACGGTCTCTCCTCTGAGCTTGCATCTCTGGGTATCTGCGTACAAATCTCATTGTCTTGTTAAGGACTCCAGTCAGATTGAATTAGGGCTCACCCATATAGCCTAATTTTAACCTAATTACCTATTTAAAAGCCCCATCTCCAAATACAGTAATGTCCCAAGGGGGAGTGGGGTAGGTCTTCAACTTCACAACAGTCCTAGGAGGTGGGGATTAATCATATCAGCATTTCAGATAAAGAAAGCAAGACTTGTCCAGCTGGTGTGGTTCAGTGCTTGAGTGTTGACCTATGAACCAGGAGGTCACAGTTCGATTCCCGGTCAGGGCACATGCCTGGGTTGCGGGCTCTATCCCTAGTAGGGCGCATGCATCAGTAATTCTCTCTCATCATTGATGTTTCTCTCTCTCTCTCTCTCTCTCTCTCTCTCTCTCTCTCTCTCTCTCTCCCTTTTCCTTCCTCTCTGAAATCAATAAAAAATATATTTTAAAAAAGAAAGCAAGCAAGACTCAGTAAGGGAAGGGTACCGATTTAATGAATAGCAAAGTGAGGATTTGAATTCACTACTGCAAAGTCAAAGCTACACATACTTCCCACTTCTGTGTGCTGCCTCTCTGTTCCCATTACATATGACTTTCCCCTCATTTCATCCATAAGTTCTGGGATGAATCCATAGATGTGGGTTATATGGCTCCTGAGGAACTTCAATTCTCTAGGGAGCTCATGTAAACATTTGGAATAAAATATCCATTTTAAATTTTTTTTATTGATTTTAGAGAGAGGAAGGGAAAGAGAGAGAAACATCAATGTGAGAGAGAATCATTGCTGGGTTGCCTCCCGCACGTTCCCTGACTGGAATTGAACCTGCAACTTGGACATGTGCCCTGACTGGGAACTGAACCCACCACCTTTCAGTGTACCGGATGATGCTCCAGCCAACTGAGCCACACCGGCCAGGGCTAAAATGTCCATATTTAGTTCTAAATATTATTTTTCAAAGTACAAATGTAGGAAAAGACTTCCTCCATTCAATTCAATTCTTCACTGAACCGCTTGGTTAAGGAGGTGGGGAAGTGTTCAGAGCCATAGCCACGGTTCAGGGCAGCAAACTCGACTTAACCCTGTCCTTTATGCCAGCGGGTAACTGCGAGTGAACTACCTGGCTTAAGGCTATGGGTTGATTTTATTCTCAAGAGCAATGAGTAATTAGTCAATTATCTTTGAGTTAGTTCTCTGGTCTGGTCACAGATTTTCTCTCTGTGGGTAGGAAGAATACTACCAGTATCCAAACTGAATATGAATTATTAGCATCTTCAAAATCAGCTGAGATTCCTGCCTGATGATCCACGTAGCAATTTGAATTGATTATTTTTTCAGACAAAGTGACTGCCTAGCCAACTCTAGGATTAGTTTATTCTGTTCACAAGTGAGTATAAGGAACTTCCTAGGTCCTTCCTCTATCTTCTTCCTCTTTCCCTGTTCTCTCTTAAACTCTGACCCAGTTGGTGGAGGTCAGATTCCTCCCAGACACACCTCTTCTGGGGGAGTGGAAAGGAAGGTGAAAAAAAAAACTAGTAGTTGCTCTTTACTGAGTGTTTTCTGTGTATCAGTCAAAGACTCCCAGCTTGTCAGTGGTAGAGCTGACATTTGAACTCATTCCTGACACCAAAATAGGCCTTGCTTACACTCAGGTGCTGTCCAGTCCTGGTTTTCAGGCGCTCTCCCCAGGGCTCCTTCCCTGTGCTGCTTCCTCTGCCTAGAAATAGTCTTTCCCCTTTACTGGCTGTCGAACTTTGATTTCCTTTAAGAACAACTCAAAACTAATTTCTTCCAAGCAGAATTAAATATCCCTCTGTGGGGGTTACCCTAGAACACTGACCTTCAAACTTTTATTGACCTCAACTCACAATAAGAAATACACTTACCTGGGGGCTTACCTGCGGTGCGAATGGCTGTGGGAGGGGGGGTGTCAATTGGGGAAAAAGGAGACATATGTAAAACTTTAGACAATAAAAAAATAAATAAATAAATACATCACTAGGATATATAAATAATTAAAGTTCAAAATTTTCATGAAAAAATACAGTGCATTCTGATAGCTTTAATTCTATTTAATTTTTATAATATACTAATTTTAACCCACTTAAATTGATTTCATGACCCGCTGAGAGTTGGGATAACTGGAAGAGGGTAAGGGGGGGATAAATGGTGATGGAAGACTTGACTTTGGGTGGTTAACACACAATATAATATACAGATGATATATTATAGAATTGTACACTTGAAACCTATATAATTTTATTAACCAATATCATACCAATAAATTCAATAAAAAATTTTTTAAAAAAGAAAAGAAAAATGTTCCTAGAAGACAGTCTTTCTTCCCTTGACAGCTTTTGTTTCTTTTATCTCTGAAGGGCTCAGATTCTCTGGCCCCTCAAAAAGATGCTCTGGGGCCCAGTTCTTTGTTGCCCCATCCTTCTAAGATGAAGTTTCATTTTGATCTTATTTATTTTTCCAGTGTTGAAAAGTTGGCCTTAAAAGCATGACTAAATATCCAAGCAGCAGCCCTGTAAGTTGCTTGGTGAAAAAAAAAAAAAAAAAAAGCATGACTATTTGTATGCTTGGCTGGGTGTACCTAGCGTATTTGACATTTAAGAAAATCATTTCAAACACTTCCCTCCTTTATACAACATTATTTTCAATAATAATCATATAACAAAATTAATAACAGTAATGACCATAAAAGAAACCCAGATATTAACAATTTTTTAAATCCTCACCTGAGGGTTTATTTTTTCCATTGATTTTTAGAGAGAGTGGAAGGGAGGGGGAGAGACAGAGAGAGAGAGAAATATTGATGTGAGAGAAACACATTGATTGGCTGCTTCCTGCACTCGCCCCAACCTTGCCGTGGATCCAGCCTACAATTGAGGTACGTGCCCTTGACCGGAATCAAACCTGCAACCCTTTAGTCAATGGACTGACACTCTTACCACTGAGCCAAACTGGCTAGGGCAACAATTTTTTTAAACTGTAAAATACATGTAATATAAATTTACCATCTTAACCATTTTAAGTGGACATTTCAGTAGTGTTATGTATACTCACATTATTTTGTTGTACACTCAATTTCCAAAACGTTTGCTTCTTGAGAAATTGAAACTCTGGCCCTGGCAGGTGTGGCTCAGTTGGTTGAGCATCAAATCCTGTGCACCAAAAGATTGCTGGTTTGATTCCTGGTCAGGACACATACCCTGGTTACAGTTTAATCCCGGGTCAGAGTGCATGCAGGAGGCAACTGATCAATGTTTCTCTCTAATCAATCTCTCTCTCTCTCTCTCTCTCTCTCTCTCTCTCTCTCTTTCTTTCTCCCTCTCCCTCCCCCTCTCTCTAAAATCAATAAAAGCATGTCCTTGGGTAAGGATTTTTTTAAAAAATGACACTGAGCAGTTTGTTTTTAAGTTTAAAAATATTTATATTAACTTGGTAATACAGTATTTTGATTTGTCTTTCCTCTGGGTATGGGTTCTTTGTAATTTTTTTTTCTTCTAACATGTTACTGGACTGGACACCTTAAACTGCCCCACCTCCTGACTTCTCGTCTCAGTAACAAAGCAACTGTCCACTTGTCACCCAAGCCAAAACAGTCAGGTGCCTCCCTCCTTCTTATCCAGTCTGATGTAGTCTGGTCATTCCACCTCCTAAACCTCGCTCAAACAATGGCTCCTTTTCTCTAGCCCTCCATACACTACCTGACTCACTGAATGATTGGAATTCTGTATCATCTTCTACAAAACATAATGTATGGTCTACACATTTCAGTTTCAGATTTTCTGAAATTAGAGTAAGATTTTAGGCATTTAAGAAGTAATTTGTAGAATCCTATACTTTTTTCATGATTTTTTCCACCTTTGTCATGTGCTTCAAAGAGGTTAATTTTTAAAATGAGGCAGTTTAATACTTAACTGATATAGAAAGATCTCAAAATACATAGCAAATGAAAAAACAACAGATGTTGAATATTATGTATATTGTGTCCTTATTCAGTGTGGGGGAAAAAAGAATAAGTACAAAAGTGACTATGGTTGCTGCCTGATAATTTCTGGTTCTGTTTTGTTAGTTTTACAGAATGAGGATCAGTTTAAAGAACGAAGAAGCCAATATTGGGATTATCTTTGAATGGTCCATTTGGAAATAATATTATCTATTGAGTTATAGAAGGGTGGAAAGCTTTTATTCAGAACAAGTAAGTATACTAGAAATAAAATCTGTCTGGCTATATAGTATGCCACCAAATGATATTGAGTGAAAAATCAATTCATTCCTTTCCCTGATGAGTTATATGTGGAATTCCCAATAAATATTCTTTTGTGGGTTTGAGAATTCAGTTATAAACCTGGCAGCCCATGATAAAAGGCAGAAACACAGGTAGGGTAGGACTTACACAAAGAGCAATCAGGTGTGTTTTAAAATTTTGGTCCTCCATCATCACCTATTAGCATATCCTCCCAGCCAGATAGCAGAGATCTATACCTATCAAGTGCATTGTGAAGAAACATGGTGTTTCACATGGCAACCAAAATGTAATTCATATATATATATATATGTATATATATTTCTATATACATATATATACATATATAATGTGTGTGTGTGTGTGGTGTGGGGTGGGGTTATATATATATATATATATATATATATATATATATATAATTTCAGAGAGGAAGGGAGAGGAAGAGAGAGAGAAACATCAATGATGAGAGAGAATCACCAGTTGGCTGCCTTCTGCACACCCCCTATGGGGAATTGCGCCCACAACCCAGATATGTGCCCTGACCAGGAATCAAACCGTGATCCCCTGGCTCATAGGTTGATGCTCAACTACTGAGCTATGCCAGTCGGGCAACTCTTTCCATTTTGATTACTGGGTATAGACCTGTGCTATCCAGTGCAGTGGCCACTAGACACATGTCTATTTAAATGTGAATTTAAATAAATAAAATGTAAAATTCAGTTGCATGAGCACACTAGCCACATTTCAAATGCTCAATAGCCACTTGTGGCTAATGGTTACTCTATTGGACAGCAGAATATAGAACATGTTTATCATCGTAGAAAATTCTACTGTATCGTGCTGGTCTAGAAACAGAGATATTCTGATAAGAATGAATACTGGCCGAAACCGGTTTGGCTCAGTGGATAGAGCATCAGCCTGCGGACTGAAGGGTCCCAGGTTCGATTCCGGTCAAGGGCATGTACCTGGGTTGCGGGCACATCCCCAGTGGGGGATGTGCAGGAGGCAGCTGGTCGATGTTTCTCTCTCATCGATGTTTCTAGCTCTCTATCTCTCTCTCCCTTCCTCTCTGTAAAAAATCAATAAAATATATTTAAAAAAAAGAATGAATACTAAATGAATGAAAGAAAGAATGAGTGAATAAGCAGCATTGTTTTCACATAACTACTTGATAAGAGAGGGTATAGTAGTACACAGGAATATATACCATGGTTATTAATAAGAACATTTGATAGTTATATAGCAGTATACTTTTCAAATTTTAAAACATTTTAATGTCTGTGACTTTATTCAGTCTTTTGCCTGAGTCTTTTTAATAATTAAAGTCAATGTCTTAATTTTACAGCTGAAGAAAAGTAGCATCCAAAAGACTAGTCTTGCCCTGCTGGCCTGGCTAGTGGTCGAGCATCGACCTATGAACCAGGAGGAGGTCATGGGTTCGATTCCTGGTCAGGGCACATGCCCAGATTGCGAGCTCAATCCCCAGTGTAGGGTGTGCAGGAGGCAGCCAATACAAAATTCTCTGTCATCATTGATGTTTCTATCTCTCTCTCTCTTCTTTCCTCTCTGAAATCAAGAAAAATGTATATAGCCCTAGCTGGTTTTGCTCAGTGGATAAAGCATCAGCTTGCGGACTGAAGGGTCCCAGGTTCGATTCTAGTCAAGGGCACATGCTTGGGTTGCGGGCTCGGTCCCCAATGTGGGGGGCAGGAGGCAGCCGATCAATCATTGATGTTTCTATCTCTCTGTTCCTCCCCCTTCCTCCCTGAAATCAATAAAAATATATATTTAAAAAAAGAAAAGAAAAAAATATATATAAGAAAAAAATATATATATTTAAACAAAACACACACACACACGCACACACACACAAAACCCCAAAAGACTAGTCTTGTAACCTTGTGGAGGACTCTAGGCCTTTCTGAGGCAACATTTCTTCAGCTGTAAAGTGAAGATTGTGACTAGATTCAGACTTAGAGGTCATTTCCATACGGAGAATGTAGAAGCCAGAGAACAGATGAGACCCCAGAGATGAGACTGGCAAACAGGACATATAGACAGGGATGTGGTAACATCCCAGCCGAGGTTAGTAGTAGAGATTTGTGACAGAGAGAAAGGCAGGTTGGGGTGGGATCCTCAGGGTCGGAGTGCCTGATGGTGCATCTGAGACCAGAGAAGCCCCAGGTCCTTCGGGAGGAGCCTATCTGCTTGGATGGATCCATGAAGGTTTGAAAACCAGGAGCAGCCTAGCCCAGGAAGAAAACTGGTCCAGATAGTGTCTACGAGTGAAAAACCAGGGAGACATTTCACCGAGCTGTCATGGACTGCCTGGGTACAGTGCGCTCTGCATTTGACAGAAATGGCATAGCTTCCCCAGGGACTACTAGAGGAAAGAGGGCTTACGCTGGAGAGCCAAGACCAAAATCTTTGGCAGATAAAAAATGCTACTCCTTTGAGTGATAACAGCTGAATAATGCCTAAAAATAGTGGCTACCAGGTATTGAGCTATTATTTTGTACTAGAGGCCCAGTGCACGAGGAGGCACCCCACGGGCTGTTGAGGGAGGTTGAGGGAGTCAGGCCCGACCGACGCAGCAGGAGGCCCCCCCTGCCTGTGTCCACTCCGGATGCTGGAGCTGCCGGCGCTGGCTCAGGCACCCCCTCTCCCCCCCGCTCCGTCTCAGCTTCAGGCCTCACCTGCCTGCGCAACCTCCTCCTGTCTGGTAGTCCCTTTAAGGCAGTGGTTCTCAACCTTCTGGCCCTTTAAATACAGTTCCTCATGTTGTGACCCAACCATAAAATTATTTTCGTTGCTACTTCATAACTGTCATGTTGCTACTGTTATGAATCGTAATGTAAATATCTGATATGCAGGATGGTCTTAGGCGACCCCTGTGAAAGGGCCGTTCGACCGCCAAAGGGGTCGCGACCCACAGGTTGAGAACCGCTGCTTTAAGGCGTCCTGGCCTAATTTGCATATTACCTCTTTATATATTAAGATAAGATACTATACATGAATTCTCATAACATCTTTGTAAGCTAAACAGTGTTCTCAACACCATTGTACAGAAAAGGAACTAGTGGTGTACTGGAGCTGGTTCTTACTGTTTTGTGAGACCTTGTTGCTGAATTTTCACGACTTTTGTTACCCAGTTAACATACATTATTAGCTTGAAATCGACCATGGTGGGAATATTTATAACGTGGAGATTGGTAAATGCTACCGATTAGGGCCTTTACCTAATTCAGAGAGCCAGGGTGTTCAACATTTAGCAGCACAGCAC